TAAATGGTTTATTGTCACAAGTGATCATGATGCTAAAGCTATGAAAAAGGAAAAGATGGCCAGGAATAGTGGTGTACACCTTTCATCCCAGCATCTTCGAAGGAAGCTACCTCTGTTGAGTTTGGAGCCAGCCTGTTCTACATAGTTCCAGGACAGTCAGGGCTACAGAGAAACCCTGTCTCAAAAAGAGAAAGTAAAAGGTGATTAAAGCTAATTTATCTTTAATGACTTAAATTTTTAATAAAGAAAAAGCAAAAATGAAATACAAGGAAAAAGAAAACCTAGTTATATTTCAAATGAGTAACATATCACATTAAAAAAAGGAAAAAAACCTAACCAAATGATTTTTTTACTTGGTATTTTCACTATATGTTCTCATGCTAAAGAGAAAAGATAACTATAAAAAAGTATTAAGACTCAGCTAGTACAGTCTGTTTACAAAGACATACACCTTAGCCTTGGAGCTGCTTCTGTACTTTAGGACTGAATAAATTATTAGTAAGCATACTATAGAGCCGGGGTTCTCAACCTGTGGGTCAAATGACTCTTTCACGGGTATAGCATATCAGATAACCTACATATCAGATATTTACATTACGAGTCAAAATAATAGCAAAATTACAGTTATGAAGTAGCAACAAAAGTAAATTTATGGTTGGGGGTCACCACAACATGAGGAACTGTATTAAAGGGTTGCAGCATTAGGAAGGTTGAGAACCACTTCTATAATAAGAGAAGCCAAGGTTTTCACTATTAGGAAAGTAAATACAGATGGAGCTTGTGAAGGTATGATGAACTCATGGCTTTGCAGATGTGTCCAGAATTGTTTGTATGTGTGTAAAATAAAATGTCTATCTTGACTAATGACACACATATAGCCACCACATGAAGCCTGAGTTTCTTGAAGAAATGGCAACCAAGGTTTGGGCAGGAATAGCTTACTGTATCAGAAAACAAGGGGCTATTCCAAAATCTAATTAGCACTTATCAAAGTGCACAAGAGTCAGCTTGAAGAACCTCTGATTAGTCAAAACTGACCATGGAAGATCTTTAAAGGCCAATGAATAAAAAAGAATCCATGCGTTTACAACACTATACACAATTATATTTACATATAAATTAAGAGAAGGGAAAGTGCTCAGAGATGCAAAGAAATACAGACACAACAAATTTAGAAAATAACATTTGGGGACTATATTAGTACTAACTGACCCAGGCAAGAAATGAATTTATGCTAAAAACCAGTGGGCAAATTTGGGTGCTATTTTTTATATTTCCATCAAAATATCTCACCAACAAGAGACATGGTACAAAGGTAGAGAAAGCAAACAAATCTGTAGCCAAAAGCCACCACCCTGCTAATGAGATAGATGCTCCTTAAGTCAGGATGCACAATGTTATTTCTGGAGGAATCCTGCCTAAGATGCACAAAATTATACAGCATCTGAGTCAATTTGGGAGAATTCCACATTGTCCTGCTGTCACCAAACACCACCACCTCAAGCTCTTAGGAAAAAAAAAAAAAAAGAATAAATGTTCTAAATTAAGAGATAAAACATTAAGGTACAGTATAGAAATTACCCTACAAGAAAGACTATGGGTACAATATAGAGTGAAACTAGGCAAAGATCTTCAACAGTAATTCTATCAATGTTAACCTCCCAAAGGATAACATTTTATTATCATTAAACAAATATCCTTTAAAAAAAGATAAACAAACAGCTATTCAGAGGTAACTGGCAACTTGAACTGGAATTTACTCTCAAAATATTCAGGAAAAAGTTTGTGTTCATGTGTCATAAAGAGAAAGCAAGCAAGCCAATGTGTTTAACACTAAGAATCTGGGGCTGGAGAGATGGCTCAGCAGTCCTCTTGCAGAGGACTCAGGTTCAATCCTCAGCACCCATACAATGTCTCACAGCCATCTCTTACTCCAGTCCCAGGGGATCTGACACTCTGTTCTGACTTCTGTCAGGCACCCACTTGATGCACATACATACATACAAGCAAAGGGCTCAGACATAAAATAATAAAACAAATCTTTTCTTTAAAAGAATCTGGATGAAGTTTGCACCTAAAAATTTCTTCTTTTGCAACTTTTCTACCAAGTATGTTTCAAATAATTTTTTAAAAAATGAAAGCTATATTTGGACATGATGCCAACTGTTAGTAAAAAAATTAATCAATGGGCCACACCTTTTCAAAAGGCAAGGAAGAGGACTGGAGGGGTCTTACAATCTCCCCACAATCATGTCCCCAGGTAGGGTTGCTGGGCACCTCTGGTTCAAGCAGAGCCTAAAGGCAGTGTGGCCTAATTGGCATCGAGGACTTTAGACCTGGGTCACTTGTATTAATTGGCTCTTGAGCTTTTGATTTACAAATTTCTGAGCTGCTCCTTGTCTTTCTTTTCTGCAGAAATGAGCAAGTTCATGAGACCTGGGACAGCAGTGCTGGTCCTAGCTGGATGCTACTCCAGACAAAGAGCCATAATCATGAAGAACAGTGATGATGTCACTTCAGATCGCCCTTATAGACATGCCCTAGTGGCTGCAATTGACTGTTATCCTCAAAAAGTGACAGCTGCCACCAAAAAGAAAATCACCAAAAGATCAAAGATCCTTTCTGAAAGTTTATAACTACAATCACCTCGTGCCCACAAGGTACTCTGTGGATATCCCCTTGGACAAAACTGTTGTCAACAAGGACGTCTTTAGAGACCCAGGTCTGAAACACCAGACTAGGCAGGAAGAAGGCCATGGTCAAGTTTGAGAAATGATACAAGACAGGGAAGAACAAATGGTTTTCCAAGAGCTTCACATTTAGGTATATTTTTGTTTACATCATTAAAAATTAAAACAAACAAACAAGAAACAACCCACAAAGGGCAAGAAAATCAGTACAGGGCTAAATCACATCTTTCTGCTCCTATCTAATACCTACAAAGTGCATTTCTATGGTAAAAATCACAATGGTCAACCTCAGTTTCCCCATTTGCAAACAGAATAGCACCCACCCAACCTTTTACATAGCTCTCCTAAAGAGTGGCTGAAACATGGCAAATGTTTGGGAGGAAGAGTTTAAAACAATAAACACAAATGGCCCTCCATATCTGTAGCTTCTGCATAGTGAGTTCAACCAACCACAAATCAAAACTATCCAGGAAGAAACTGTTTGTATTCAACACGTGGTGACTTTTTCTCTTATTATTCCCTAAACAATATAGTCAGTCTACAGAACCAAATAAAAACTTATGGGAGAGGAGTTTTACCTGAATAGTTGAACTACTCTGATTAATTCAAACACTGTGTCAACTTTATGGCATAAAAACCATTACTGACTTAAAGAAAGCCATTAAGCCAGTTTGGGACAACCTTTCCAGTCTCACCATGTGGATGGAGATCTCTACACTCCTGCCTGGGTGGTAGGACTTCAACTGTTTTGTACCTTAGTGGTAAGGAAGGAAACGAGCTCAGAGAAACACCCCAAATTCAGAGGTACCAATTTTCCCCATACTTAGATCAAACAAAAGATTTTAAATAAAAACCTATTACTTTTCCAAAACTTAAGCTTTTGTCATCACTTAACAGAAGTCACACATGGAGTAACTCTCTCAATGACAGAAGAAAGAACCCTTAAAGATGAATCTTGCAGGAAATAGTTGTGATTCTAAAAGAACAAATGAAGGGGTTTTTTAGTATGTCAGAAATTTTCAAATAAAATTCAACAGCACTGTCCTTTTTTCCCACCATTGGGAAAACAGGTTCGATCTACTGTGAGCACCACACAAGCAGAGCAATTTGGCTCTGTGTGGCAAATATTTGGACTAGTCAGCAGACCTGGACCTGCAGAGCAGGATCCCAGCAGCCCGCCACTGCAGGGAAGAATACAGGAACTAGAGGGCCTGCCTGGCTCTACAGAGGCTGAGGAAAGACAGGTCACAAGAGCATGCCCTCTGAGGGTAGGTGTTCTGTGCCTGCCTCATTTATCGCTGTATCTAAGATAGGAAATTTCCTGGATTACAATAAGCATTCACTAAGAATTAAATTAACGACGGGAAATCCTAGGCCTCTCCAATCAACCTATGAAAGTGACAAATAAGCCAGCACTCGTCAGAGAGGGACAGCTGGATCTCTGTGAGTTTGAGGCCAGTCTGGTCTACAGAGTGAGTTCCAGGACAGCTAGGGCTACACAGAGAAACCCTGTCTCGAAAAACAAAATAAATGACAAATAATTTAAGTTGCAGATTTAAAAAACTCGTTTGTTACACATCTGCTTATCAGTCATAACTGTATGTTGGAAACATAAGCAATCTATTCTTCACTCTTAATAAATAGGGTAACGTCAATCAAGGTATTTCTTGACCCACAGTGGGTACACCTACAAACTCATTCCTTCATCTTTAGTTTTATCAGTTCTTATAATGTAGAATTATAAAGATAAAATGAGTGCATAAAATCTAAATCACAGCAAAATATCATGTTCAACATCAAGTTTGAGACAGACTATGTAAGCACTCAGGCTACAAACACTGCTCACCAGCCCTGACTTCCGAGACATCTGTACCATAACTAACCCCTCTAGTAAAAAAATCTAAAATCAGATTTAGTTTTTGTTTCTCCACTCCTATAGCATACGTCGTTAATTTATTTTCAATCCTTAAATTATGAGGTCTATAAGTAATTCATATTAATTAAAATGTTATCAAGAATGTAGTGAAATTATGTAATACAGAATACAAGTAAATTTAATGCAAATTTATATGACATGCTATTAAGACCAGTAAGTTTTCCTTCCCCATTTTTAAAGAAATTCCAACATTTCTTATAAAACAATTAAGTTGTATTCCCTATATGCTCTTTTTAAGATTACTAATATATTTTAAGCAGCAAACTCTACTTGCTTCCCAAGTACTACCCATACAAGCAATACAGAATTTCACTACCAAGTCAAACCTAGCATTTCCCAGAGAGCCTGCCTTATGTGGGTTATAATCATCTTACTATGCTTCTTGTGTCCATGCTGCTGGAAAAGCAGTCTGTACAAGCAGGAGTAGAGGCACAATCCTGAGAGAAAGGAGTAGAGAAAGATGTTGAGAAAACAAAACCAGACAAAATGAGCTCACTGAAGAGTTTGAGCTCAGCCAGCTGAAGGTCAAGGTCATGGGTGATCACATTTTTGTCATACCACTGAATCAGACAGAGACTGTCCATTAACAGCAAATCTGGCCCTAGAAAGAGATATCTGAAATTTCATATAGAAGTAATAAAATCATCACTAACTCTAAATTACCTACAGCAAATGATCATTAAAATATGACTGTTCAGGAGAGTGGAGATATACAAGTCCCTTAAATGTCAACAGAATTACTCTAACAAACTTAATACTAGTCTAGAATACCATGGTTTAGTAATATATGAAATAGATTTCAATAGTGACAATTTTTGTGTAATCTTGAATGGTTGAGATTATATACATTCAAATCATGCAATATCAAAATCTATTCAATCTGAATCACTATTGTAGTCTAAATTTTTATTACTGTAAGAAAAAAAATTACTGTATAATCATTTTAAAACACTAAATCCAAAACAGTCTTGAACACAATTACTATCGAACATAAAACTCTGGTATGTCCTAACTGGAATCCTCAATTGAGAAGTCCTGCCCCCTCCTCCCATTCCCCATACTCAAGTGAAAATTAAAAACAGAGTAAGAGTTCTGACTTAAAATTTTTCACCTAATCTATATTTCTACAATGCCCTAAAATTTACCTTTAAAGCAGTGCTTAGGAGGCAAACTAGATCCTCAAAAACGTAACTGTATTCAATTAGTCAAAGACTCTTCCCACTAAAAGAATATCCAAGTGAAAAAATGAAATCATTTCTGTATTTTAAAACCGCGTGTCCAGGAACATTAGCTACCATCAGTCACCCAGTAAATCACCATCCCTCATTTACTTGAGACATGCTCGTGCGGGTGGGCTCTACACCATATTCTAAATGCCAAGCGGTGTGCCAAGACCTGAAGCAACACCATCACTGTTCTCACTGAGCTTGTAACCCGGGGAAAGACGAAGAACTTAAAAGTAGAGTCATCATTAGGAGGAAAAGTACAAAATGCTTTAAGACTATTTAATGAGACCTAAATCCATGATTCTCAACCAAGATTATGTTACTTCTCCCTTAAGGGAGAACTGGTAACCCTAAAGAGAATGGATGTCCCCAACAGGAAGGGTGCCACCTAGCATCTAGTGTGCAAGAGCTATGATGCTGCTAAATGACCTACACGTCACAGGATTACTCCTCACAATAAACAACACACAGCCCCAAATACCAACAGTCCAAAGATAAAAGCACTGATCTAAACAACTGGGGTGGAAAGGACGGTAGTGTTAGTAAAGGCATCCTTAGTTTAAAACACTCAATTTAAAACCATCTTTAAATCATTTTCATAGAAAGAAAAATTACAGCCTGATACAATTAACCCACTTCCCCTACAAAACAAAACAACAGAGAAAAGAGTGACACAACCCTGAAAGATGAAAATCAAAGAGAAATGTTTTACAAACGCTTCCCCTAAGTGTTTTCCCTGAGCCACAGCTAAAGCAAAATCACATAAACTAAAAACAAATTTAGCATGTTATTCTACCTTTTTCGTTTCCCTCATGGCTACTACTAGATATTGATGGGCCTAAAAGTTCTGTAGTTATACAAATTGCCCACCCGGAATACAAAACTGGAAGTGAAGGAAAATGTTAACTATGAAAATGTACTGAGTATTAGAGTGGGTCTAGAAAGTGTGTATCTTAGAATGGCTCAGAGTGAGCTATCCAAACCAAGGGATGCCCATGACAGAAGTCTCTGATAGCTACAGACTTAGGAACCTTAACAATGATAACCAGGGGTTGGGGATTTAGCTCAGTAGGCCCTCAGTCGATCCTCAGCTCCAAAAAAAAAAAAAAACAATGATAACCAGGGCCAGGTATGCTGGCACGTGCCTGTAATCTCGCTTCAAACATTGGGGAGGCAGAAGCAAGAGGACTGTTCCAAATTCTAGACTAGCATCCTCTACAAATCGGTCCAGGGCAGCTAGGACTACCAAGACTCTATCCCAAAAACAGACTGGTCAATTTTTAGAAAGATGATAAAGAATCTTTCCAGAATTTAGCAACTGAGTAAAATCTAAGAATTAAAATGCAATTAATTTTCTAGCATCTTAAACCCATAGACCCCACCCTACCTTCCACTAAACTCACTCAGAACAAGAAAAAGAAAACATATCATGGGGCAGGTAGTATTCAGGTGTATTGGGTGTCTAATACACCCAAGTAAAATTCACCTCCTCAGGTTTTATCCAGATATAACCACTGTTAATCCACTCTTACACTTTTCATGGATTACCTTAAAGTGTGTTTTAAGATTTCTTCTCCAATTGCACTGAATTTTTCTAAAGATGGTATCATGTAAAGCCATTCTCTTTCCTTTCACTTTTCAAAAACAAGGCACAAGAGAAAGAGAAGGCCTCTATTAGAGCAGCCTCCATGCAGTCTCTAGGTGCAGAGCATGGACAGCAGCTCCCATGAAGATGCTACCAAGAAACACTCAAGGCATCCCTAATTTGGTCCATACAGTTAAGCTGTCCTCCTCACTGGACGAAGACTCCAAGTCACTGTAAGAAGTGACCACCTGGAACAGCAGCAACTCTAGTACCTGGTAGTGACTAATCCATTCAGTTCAGCTACTCCACTCAAGATTTCATTCTCAGGGAAGTCTTCAAAGTAAGGACAACTTTCTCTCATTGGATCAGAACTGACAATATGTACTGGCACTGGGATTACCTCTCATTCAACTCATGGTTATGAAGAGGAAGTTACCACAAAATTCTTGAACAAAGGATCTCCTAATAGAGGATATTTAGTACAGTGGTGAAGAACAGAGAAATCCTTTGAGAAATTATGATAGGAGATGATGACTCAGAATGAAATTTTTTCACATTCTGCAGATTAATTATAAAAGGCTGTATTCTTAGCTTCACAATCTCTAGCATCTTATTTCTAAGATACACAGGAAATAAGACTGGGTAGTTCAGTCTTTAAAGCCTAAGAATTAGCAAGCCGCTAAGCATTTCATATTTTAAACATCTGTTTGCTGTGGATATCGCTCTGTATAAATAAAATGCTGATTGGCCAGTAGCCAGGCAGGAAGTATAGGCGGGACAAGCAGAGAAGAGAATTCTGGGAAGCGGAAGGCTGAGGCAGAGAAGCGCTGCCAGCCACCACGATGAGATGTTAACCGGTAAGCCATGAGTCATGTGGCAACTTATAGATTAATAGAAATGGGTTGATTTAAGATATAAGAACAGTTAGCAAGAAGCCTGCCACGGCCATACAGTTTATAAATAATATAAGTCTCTGTGTGTTTACTTGGTTGGGTCTGAGCGGCTGTGGGACTGGCGGGTGAGAGAGATTTGTCCTGACCATGGGCCAGGCAGGACCAGGAAAACTCTAGCTACATCTGTTTATTTTGTTTTTGTTTTAGACAGGTTGTACAATACGATTCAGTCTGTCCTAGAACTAAGTATGTAGCCCAGGCCAGCCTCAAACTCAAAGCAATCCTCCTGTCTCAACCTCCCAGGTGCTGGAATTACTAGTGTGTGTCAAGACACCCAACTTTCATATTTTAAGCATTTGAAGGTTAAAAAATGTCTTGCTAACCAACAGTACTGATAATTCTTTGAGCTAGCCAAGAGTGTGGTGCCACACACCTGTAATCCCAGCACTCAGGAAGCTGAACCTACAGCAAGACCCTGTCTCAACAATACTAATGACAGCTATTATTACTATGAGCTAAATTTTGATGCCTTAAAAGCCAAATTCACTGTGACTACTTGAAAACATGATTTCCTCCCAAGCCTGTAATTCAGACTCCTGTTCATTTTTGTACTTTAAAAACATGACTTAATAGAACAATAATGAATGAGCTGCTCCAGTGCTCGCTTCCAATAGCAAAGCATGCACATATGCACAATATCATCATCACTTTCTTCTCTCCTAAATTAACAAGGCTATGCACTTTGTGCTTAAACAAAAGTATAGAGGGCCAAGCCTAGTGCAAGCCTATAATCCTGCTACTAGAGCTGAGGAAGGAGGATCCCATAATAAATACAAGTCTTTTCTGGACTACAGAGTGAGCTCAAGTGTTTCCAGCCTAGGCAAGGACTTCTCTCACAACAAAAAAGAGGACTGGGATATTATAACTCAGTAGTAAGAGCCCTAACATAGCATGTAAAGGGCCCTACTTCAATTTCCAGTCTGAGGGAGGTTCTAGATCTTTCCTAAATGTATTTATCTTCCTCAACTGAGTCCATCTTATATTTTTAAGTTAACTCCACTTTAAATCACTTTAAAAGTTTACATCACATTAACACAGAAAGGTAAAGATTTAAGTTGTTTGAAATTCTTAGGGGAAAAGACAGGAGTGGAGGAGTGCTACACACTAAAATTGGATCTCAAACTCTGCTCTAGTAGACACAACAGGAGAAAAGAGGTAGCACACCCAAGTAGGTGTGTAACCATCAGGCCCCTTATCCTTCCAACTAAAATGGAAAGCCCATTCCTCCTCCACACTGCTCTACTGTGGCCTCAAGCACTCACACTTATTTACACCTATCACTGTAGGGATCTGCTGTAAAACCCCTGGGATAGAAGGGAAGACACATTGGCGATCTCCTAAACAAAGAGGGAAATTCACCATAATGGAAGAGGGTTAAATCCAGGAACTTGGAAATAAGAGAAAAGAAGGGGGTTTTGTTTTGTTCTGAGAGAGGGTCTCTATAGTATAGCTCTGGCTGTCCTGGAACTCACTCTGTAGACCAGGCTGGCCTTGAACTCAGAGATCCACCTACCCCTGCCTCAGTGCTGGGATCAAAGATGTGAACCACCAAACCCCACTAAGAAAGGAGTTTCTTGTAACTAAAGAACTTAAATATTAGTGCTGTATGCAGCAAATAAAAAGGCCACATGGCTGTTTTCCTATACAGTTACAAAATATTAAAAATAGTTAATTACAGTATCACTAGATTCCTTTTAGTCCATATTCTAAACATAGATCATGGAGTGAGAGAATTAAGTTTTATATAAGGAAATATCTGACCATATTATCAGTTATAAATTCACATGCTTCCCAAATGCATTGCTCTCATTATCAGGAAGTTCACCACTACTTAAAGTAATATGCATAATTAAAGTGGCATGAACTTTATCTAACTTTTACCCCTTTGCAGCATTTCCCAAGTGCTACCTTAAACAGAAAAAAAAGTAGGATGAAATTGCAGAACGGCATTTAAAAGCACCGTCCCATTTGGATATCCATAAATGCTATTTTAAAAGATCATGTACTAAAGACATTAATAGTCATATTACTGAGTAAAGCGTTAGCACTTCCCAAACAAAAGTTCTGAAAACTATGCTAATTAGTTAGCATACATTTAAATATTTTTCTAAGAGGTACAAGACTACAAGGATAATGCTGACTGAGCTGGTATTTGCTTCATACATTTAATGTTCGAATTAGATCCTAGTGATATTAATCGTTTAAAATTTGATTTTTTAAAACCAATCAGTAAATTCAGCTAACAGTGAAAAATCAGACACCTGCCTTAAAAAAAAAAAAAAATGCTTAACTTGACACGTGAATGAGCCCGTGGCAAGATTCTCCCAGCTTCTTTTCTCCTGGGTGCACAATGTCTCCCTAACATTTGTGTCTTTCTCCCTAACTGATGATCAGAAGGACAAGTAGAAATAGGGAAAAGGAGGGAGGGAGGGGGATAAGAGAGGGAGGAGGGAGGGAAAGACAGGGAGAGGGGGAGGGAGAGAGAAGGAAGGGGAAGAGAGAGAGAGAAATCACAGAATAATGTTGCCTCCCTACCAACCATCCAATTAGCTAAGTCCCTGGCTGGCAAGTTACCTAGTCAACAGAACCTCAATAATAAACACTACGTGTAACGTGACTTCGGATCACCACCCCGTGGGTCCTCTCCCAAGGCCTCGCATCCGTGTGTCAGCTTCCTCCAATCGCCCGGGGAGGACCTGCGGAGTGATGTCCTGCAACAGCTCGGACCCTTGCAGGGGCCACGGGGCCGCGGGGTGGGTGGGCGGACCAGGCTTCGGTGGAACCCACCGGGGGGGGGGGGGGGGGGGGGAGCCTGGCTCGGCGGCCGCCGCCGCCGCCGCGGCCTCGGGAACCGGCCCGCCCGGCCTCCGACCCTCCCCCTTACCCTCCCCCAGCCCTCCCCCAAGCCCGGCCCGGCCCCGGGGAGGGGCGCGCGGGCCGTTCCCCTCCCCCACGGCCACCCGGCCGCCGTCGCCCCCACCCGGGGAAGGGGCGGTGGGGAGGGGGAGCTGCGGCCCCGTGCCCGGGCTCGGCGCGCGAGCCCCGGGGCCGGGCCTGGCGGGAGGCCGGGGCTGCGGTACGAACCTCGCTGTTGAAGGTCTTCACGGCCTCCATGTTGTCTGCGCAGAGGCCCGGGGCCCGGCGAAGGCAGAGGCGGCGGCCGGCGCGTTGCGTGCCGAGAGGGGCGGGCGACGGGCCCTCCGGGAGGCCGCGGAGCGCGGGGCGAGCGGGCGACGCTCCTCAGCGCCGGCGAGGCCCCGGCATGGCCGCGGGGCGGGCGCAGCGAGCAGGACGGAGGCCGCCGGGGCGGGTCGGCGGCGGGGGAGGGGCTGGCGCGGCGCCTTCTCTTGCTTCTCCGCCCCGCTCGGCGGCGGCGGCGGCGGCGGCCTCCTCCGCACTCAAGGCTCGGGTCCCCTCCACTCGCCACCCCCTTCCTCGCCTCCTGCCTCTTCCTCCCACAGGCTCCCGCGTGTCGCCTCCCCGCCGCCCTTAGGCCGCGGGAACCTGCAGCGCGCAGCGAAGACACAGGAGGAAGCGCTGACCGCGGCGGCTGCGGCATCCAATATGGCGGACGCGGTCGGGCCGCGCACTCCCGAGTCGGCGGCGCCGGCCAGCGCGCCCCCTGGCGACCGGGCCGCGCGAGGCGCCCCCACACACACACACACCCCCTCCCTCCCCACGGCCCGCGCCAGACCATCGAGACGGGCGCCGGCCAGAGCGGCCCGAGGCGCCCGGGCGGGAGAGGGACCGCGTCCCACGCCCCGGGAGCGAGCGCTGCGGCGCGGATGGAGGAACTCGCCCGGTGGCAGCGGATCCCCGCCGATCGGCGCTGCTCTTGAGAAAAAAAAAATCCCCCAGTGCAGCGGAGGGGGCGGGGGGGAAGAGAACAAATGGAGGAAACCACGGCGTCTCCGCGGCCGTTTCCCAGTGGGCTGGCGTCGGCCCTGGAGGCGGGGTGCAAGTGCCTGTGAGAACTTCAGCGGGCATTGACTTGGAGGAGAAACCCCCCGGGAGAATGGATGCTTCGTCGTCACCGTGTGCCCGAGCGTCCCAGCCGCGGGAAGCGAACGCTCCGCACGAAAGCTGCCGGGGGACGCGTGCAACGCGTGCGGCAGCCGTGCGGGGAAATGCGGGCTCAGCGATCCGGGCCTGAGCATCTCGGAGGCGGGAAGGAACCCAGAACGCCCCGTTTGGACGAGGAAACGCAACCCATAAATATATATTAGGAAGTGGGTTATTCTCAAGGAATTTTGCCTCGGATTATCGGTGCAGAGGGATGGTTGCAGATTTTAGGATCGAGACGTGCTACTGACTGGCGAAGCACCTTGGTGCTTATTTGAAGTTAAACGAGGAGGGGCGTTCCCCTCTGAACGTTCCCACACATACTGACGGCCACCTTGTTGAAAGTCATTTGCCCATCGCGCTCCCCAGATTCGTGCAAAAGGAAGAGGAGAAAATAGGCTGCTTTAGATTCAAGTATTTCCTAAGTAAAGAGTCCAGAGCCCTATGAAACACAAAGCAAGTTCCTCCCTGGCGTTTTAGGGTCTTTACGTTCACTTCATTCACAGATTTGCTGTTGGCACTGGCTGTTTAGAAGGTAAAAATAATGATGGGAAGCTTACATTTTTTTCCCCTGCTATCTCAAGTGCACACCTCCTCTACCGTTTCCAGTGTTCATTCCTGACGATCCTGCTGGCTCCGTGTACCTTACATTTTCTGGACAGTGGCCAGGAGGATCTATTTTAGACACATCCCTTGCTTAAATGAATCCCTGTACTGCTTTTCCATTGCCCTTCAGATACACCCTAACTTCTTACAGTGGTGTGAAGGCCCTGCTACCCCAGCCCATGCCGCTCTTCCACACTGTCCCTCTGTCACTTGGTAACAGATAGCATTTGCCCACTGAGTAATTTGTATGTGCCTCTTCCCTTAGCTAGTTGCTGTTGCTCATGGTTGGTTGGTTGGTTTTGTTTTTCATAGCTGATGGTGCAGGAGGTCTCTGATCATGCCGTGCTAGTACTTGAAGTTGACATTCAGCCCTACTCAAGCTAGGTTGTCACAAGAGTTCCCACTTCGGCCACTTTTACTCAGTCACACATAGAACAAGTGTGACTGAGTTACACAGGTCAAGTAATTAAAATGCAGTATAAACCACTGTTCCAAACCAGTTAATGCGCTGTGCAATTTGCCTTAAGAAGGATTCCTCATCCAGGAAAATACCAGAGGACTTTGAGGGGAAGAGGGAGGGGTAGCCTCAGTGTCCTCTGCAGATAAGACAATAAAGTAAGGGGGAAGGAAAAGGAAGAATCTAGAGTCTTGGAGTCTGAACCATTTACAAGGTTTGTGTGCAGCAACACACACCTCCAGGATGTAAAAGCCTCAGCACTCATACCCACATTGTATGTGTATTTCTATGTACAGACTGCAAGTAAGGATTATGACTCCCAATACCAAAAAAAACAGTCGGAGCGAGCTTAAGCATAAAAGAATTCCCTGTACACATTTTTTATGTTTCTTTGGTTTTTTTTGAAACAGGTTTTCTCTGTGTAACTTTGGCCATTCTGGAACTCACTTTGTAGACCAGGCTGGCCTCCACCTACCTCTGCCTCCTGAGTGCTGGGATTAAAGGCCATGTGCCGCCACCGCCTGTGAAGACCATCAACTCATTCTGAAAAGCTGATAAGGGAACAGTGAGCTGGAGTACAGCCATCACTGGAATCATGACATGTCCCAGAGCCTATGGCTACCACCTTGGGGTGCTCAAGCGTAGCTAGAGACCATGACTATCTGAACAGGATGCCTCCTGGATACCGGGAAAATGTGAAATAGCACTAAGCAAGAAGCAGCTTATCAGATCTCCATGGAATGATAGATACCCGATATCTTTTAATACAAACATCTGGAGTATTGTTTAATCCAGAACTAATAATTCTCAGAAAAAATGGACACTTGAGACTCAGCATTATGGAACAGCTTAGGAGCTTTGGGGACACCTTACATCTTATAGGAAGAAAGAAAGGGTCAAAGCTGACTAGAAAGCAGTATGTTCTTCAGAGACAGAGCTGGGAGCGGCAAGATGGCTCAGTGGGTAGAGGTGCTTGTCACCGGTCCTGACGACCTGAGCTCCATCCTTTGAACTCCCATGATAGGAGAGAACTGTTTCCTGAAAATCGTTTTCTGACTTCCACATGTGTATGTGGCAGGTACATAGAAACAAACACAACCAATCAGTTAATATCAATCAAAAATAATAATTGCTATATGGTCCAGCAATTCTACTTATGGATGTATACCCCAAAGAACTGAAAGCAGAGATTTGAAGAGATGGTCATCCCTTCTCTTCATAGCAGGAATTGAAGAGATGGTCATTCCCCCCGACCCCTGTTCATAGCAGGAATTGAAGAGATGGTCATTCCCCCCTGTTCATATCAGGAATTGAAGAGATGGTCATTCCCCCCTGTTCATAGCAGGAATTGAAGAGATGTTCATACCCCTCTGTTCATAGCAGGAACTGAAGAGATGTTCATACCCCTCTGTTCATAACAGGAACAGTGACAACTTGGACAAATGACAAATTCATAGTAGTTAAAAGAGGTTAGTAACCTAAGAGACTATCAGTAAATACACGAACAGGTGTGGTGGCACATGCCTTTAATCCCAGCACTCGGAGGCACAGACATCTCTCTTGAGTTCAAGGCCAGCCTGCTCTACATAGTAAGTTCCAGGCCAACCAGGGATATATAGACCCTGTCTCAAAAAACCTAAACAAACAAAAGGGGTGTAGCTATAGAATAAAAAACTATTCAGCCCTGAAAAAGAAAGAGACTTCTGATACATCTACAATATAATAAAGTCTGCTAAGTGAAGTAAGCCAGTCACAGAAGAGCATGCACGGTATGATTCGTATAGACAGACTGAGGTTACTGAGTGGTAGGATGAGGGACGAGTTAGGAGTTGTTATGTAATGGGTTCAGGTTCGGTTCAGAAGGTGAAAAGGTCCTGAAGGTGACTGGTAGTGGGCCGCACAGCAGGGATACACTCTATTCTAAAGAAACGCACTTAAAGGGGCTAACGTTGAATTCTTTCTTTAACTATTTTCTTTTTAAATTTTATTTTCTGTGCGTGAGGGTGTCAGATTCCCTAGAACTGGAGTTATAGACAGGTGTGAGCTGCCATGTGGTGACCCGTCCCACGGGCCAGGTTATTTGATGAGACCCGAAGAGGCACCTCCTGAAAGATCAGGGGCGAGAGAGAAAGGAGAACAGGCGCATAAAGGAAGACAAAGTCAGTCTGAGTCACGTCAAGGTCTCGTTTATTGCAAGGGGAGTCAGGCTTATATATGCTAGGGGCTAGGAGAAGTAGATAGGCGTATGGAAAGTTACTAGGAGGAAGTTAGGGTAAGGTAGGGTTCAGGAAAAGGTCTCTTCTTTACTGGGGTAGTTCAATGAGAACAAGGCCAATGGAGTCAGTCCTAATCCAATCTGACAGGTGCCAGAAGAGACGAGGATGCAGAGACCCACGAAGAGAAGACCCTGGTGAAGTCTTCATAGAAAGTGAGCCTGCCAGCACCTTGCCCTTGAACTCCAGGGCTCTTGAAGGGTGAGGAGGGCACATGCGCTGCTGTTTCCACTCCCTCTATGGTACTGCATTATCACAGACCTGTGGAGCCAGCACAGGTGGTACACAACGCTCTGAGGCTGAGCACCCAACACTTTCCAAAATCTGCAGGCTAAGCGCAGAGAGGACAGTTGCCAAACTGTTTTTATTTTTGGAGGACATTTGAATTTTCCTCTCGAGAGTAAATGGTTCTTCATTGAGAAGGGCTGCTATTTTTGTTTACACAGGTAAATTCGGCTCTTCTGCAATGAAGCTCAGGAAAATGGAGAATCCTCCCACAGCTCCCTGGGATTCCACACACATGTGTTGGGGTTGCTGGCCAGGTTCTTAGGCCAGCTTAGGGTCAGGATCACATTGTGACAGGGGCAGAAAAGATTCCAGCTCGTCATGGGCGTTGGGAGGATTACATTGCCTTGACTAGGAGAGATTTGGTCCAAGGTACCTGCTCCCAAAGAAACCAGCAGAATTTTCCTGCCTTCTGATTAGGTTAGCACAATGTAAAATGAAGCTTTGCAGGTAAATAAAGCAGAGGCTTAGAATGGTGTGATTTGTTGGGTGGTGGTGGCACTTACCTTTAATCCTATCACTCTGGAGTTTTAGGCATTTGGATCTCT